TACGCTAGCCTACTCAAAATGCAAGCCACTTACCCCAATTCTAATTTAGATGGAATATATCCACACAATAGCTATATCACTACTCTAAGTTAGTGTGCTCTCAAAATCTAACTAAAGAGCCACACTAACTAAACTAACAAGCTCTCACAACTAGTTACACTAAAGAGCTTGACAACTAGTTTGCGGTAATGTAAAGAGTAGACAAGAAGGTTATATCACCGTGTAGATGTATGAACCAATCAATTATAAGTGTGGATAACAATGAAGACCAATCACCTCGGAATTAAATGATGAACACAATGATTTTTTACCAAGGTTCACTTGCTTACCGGCAAGCTAGTCCTCGTTGTGGCGATTCACTTACTTGGAGGTTCACGCGCTAATTGGCATCACACGCCAAACCCTCAATAGGGTGCCGCACAACCAACACAAGTTAAGGATCACACAAGCCATGAGCAATCCAGTAGAGTACATTTTGGCGCTCCGCCGGGGAAAGGTCAAGAACTCCTCACAATCACCACGATCGGAGCCGGAGACAATCACCACTCTCCGCTCGACGATCCTCGCTGCTCCAAGCCATCTAAGTGGCGGCAACCACCAAGAGTAACAAGCGAATCCTGCAGCGAAACACGAACACCAAGTGCCTCTAGATGCAAACACTCAAGCAATGCACTTGGATTCTCACCCAATTTTACAAAGATGTTTAATCTATGATGAAAATGAGTGGGAGGGCTTTGGCTAAGCTCACAAGGTTGCTATGTCAATGTAAATGGCCAAGAGAGTGAGCTTGAACCGGCCATGGGGCTTAAATAGAAGCCCCCATAAAATAAAGCCGTTGTACCCCTTCACTGGATGCAACGCGGGGTGACCGGACGCTCCGGTCCGATCGACCGGACGCTGGTCCTTAGCGTTCGGTCACGTGATACACACCACGTGTCCCCGGCTTCAAATACAGTTTGTTAGATTTCAACGGTCATCTGTTGACCGGACGCGTCAGTTAGAAAGTGACCGGACGCTGGAGCTCAGCGTCCGGTCGTTTCTAGTAAGGTTCCAAGCACGAATTTTCACGATCGGACACGTCTGGTCATGCCCGACTGGACTCACCCAACGTCTGGTCACTCAACATCTCCTCTGTGTGCCCCACGTCAGCGTACGTCAGCACTGACCGGACGCACCCTGCCAGCGTCCGGTCGCAGAGCGACCCAGCGTCCAGTTGTTTGACCGACGCCAGCGTCTTCACTGTTTCACCTGACCGGACGCGCTGGTCCAACCGAGGCCAGCGTCCGGTCACTCCTAGTGACCTCCGTCTTTTCTGTCTAGGGCGCCGGTGGCACCGTCGGACTGTCCGCACTCTACGGGTGGACACTCCGCCGGTGGAGTTTCTTACCCTTGCACCCAAACTTCACCACCCTTGATCAAATATGCCAACCACCAAGTGTATCACCTTGTGCACATGTGTTAGCATATTTTCACAAACATTTTCAAGGGTGTTAGCATTCCACTAGATCCTAAATGCATATGCAATGAGTTAGAGCATCTAGTGGCACTTTGATAACCGCATTCCGATACGAGTTTCACCCCTCTTAATAGTACGGCTATCAATCCTAAATGTGATCACACTCTCTAAGTGTCTTGATCACCAAAACAAAATAGCTCCTATAAAATATACCTTTGCCTTGAGCTTTTTGTTTTTCTCTTTCTTCTTTCCAAGTCGAAGCACTTGATCATCACCATGCCATCATCATCATCATGCTATGATCTTCATTTACTTCACCACTTGGAGTGTGCTACCTATCTCATGATCACTTGATAAACCAGGTTAGCACTTAGGGTTTCATCAATTCACCAAAACCAAACTAGAGCTTTCAACTATGCACTCAGAAGGGAAGGTAAAAATGATCGAAAATAATAAATTTATAAGAAGGCCAAGTAACTGAACAATTTGTGAGAGGCTTGGATAGTAGTTTTCTTTAGAAATGGAGTTTACTAAGAGAAAACAAAAGGGCACCTTGATTTGGCCTCATTAGAAAACTGCACAACTACGAGATACAAGTGGGGAAAAAGCTAGGAAGAAACGAGAAAAACGATGATAGTTAAGGAATTGATCGATGCTAGTTATATGAAGCTCATGGTGATAGACGCAATAGGGACAGATGAAGAGAGAAAAAATATTATATTATAAAAAACAAAACTATTTAAAATGGTATTCTTAATTAAACATATATAATTAACAAAATAACACTATTTTGCGTGAATAACTTTGCTAGTAGTTTGGATATGTAAACGCGGCTCAGTGTGAACGGGTGATGATGTCGTCTTGTTAGGCCGGGGACCGCATGGGCGTCGTCATTCTCGCCCACTTACCACCAAATTTACCGTCACTTTCCGCGTGCTAATGATTGATTCCCCCGGCTTCCGATCCAATCGGCACTCACGGCCATGCCCATCTTCCCCTGTTCCCTACTACAACCTGATTGATTTATTTCCTTCTGTACACGCCGCTACTGCACTGCACTGCCGGTGCCCCCCTACTACTTTTCAATTTGGTTATATACACTGTTATTACAAATGTTACAGTCTTACAGACCTGCCGGTTTACGCTTCACTCGCCCCTTCTTTTGACCTCTTCCCCTCCTTTCGCTGCGCGGATCATGCAGGGTTTATTCTGGTGCGGTAATAACAAGATAAATACACAGAACGCGTTCACACTACATACCCCGGTAGAGTTTTCAACGGAGGCCTTGTTTAGATTGTAAAATTTTGTAATCTGGACATTGTATCACGTTTTATTTGTATTTGATAAACTTTGTCCGATCATGGATTAACTAGGCTTAAAAGATTCGTTTCATGATTTACAACAAAACTATATAATTAGTTATTTTTTTCCTACATTTAATGCTCCATGCATATGTCCAAAAATTAATGTGATGAAAAGAGGGTAAAAAAACTTGAAATTTTAAGACAATCTAAACAAGTCCGGAATGGATGGACGCAGCACTGCTGCTGTCTGCTGATGATAAACAAATGTTACGGAAACTGCGGTCAGTTGTCAACGTGACGTGAGATTTGATTTGATATCGGTTTGTCCTCTGTGTTACTGTGTACTGTACGTAGCCTACGTAGGACGCACTTGAGGTTTACAGCGAGGCCCCATCCACCTGGTCCAGTTTGCTAATACATGGAGTCCTTAGGGTCCGAGATGCAAATTGCCACGAGGGAGGAGGAGGACGTGAGTCAGCGCTACACGTGCCGACATGCACATCACTTCACGCCTCGTTGTCCTGGGTCGAGTGAAAATCAGAAGAGCTGTATCTGTATGCTAGCATGTATAGCTAGACGTACTCCGTATGGGGCTACGGGGCTGTACGAGCAGTAACATTTCAACGGAACAGTTCCTTTGACTTGTCTTCAAGACGCACTCCGTACGTACTATGGTAACTTGGTAAGGTAGGGGATGGCAACTGGTCCTGGTAGGTGTACACGGACACGGTACACCAACGGTCGTATGGTTGTATCTAGTTAGCTACTGACAGGACTAGTAGTCCTAACTGTGCAGTCAATCGTCTGTCATGCATGCAAGCTGAAATTACAACTAGCAGCAACCTTTGAGGCAAAACCATTTTTTGTCTTAGCATTTTGGAAAAGTCTCGTGCCATTTTCAATGGATGTGTCTATATATAACTCACTCGATCGGGCAATTCAAATCCATCATCCATCCCCCCAACACACCCAAAAAAGAAAAGAAAAGAAAGGAAGTCCATCATCCATCACACAATGTTAGGCCCTCCTTGCGGGTTGACCCCACGACCTGTGTTTGTCCTCGCCGTAACCTTTTGTTTCTTCTTCATTTTCCTACACGGTCACACCGTGGACACCCGACAACTCCGCGTAGAGGGCCACCATGTTACGCTTGAGAACCCACCCCAAGTCGCCAACTACCTAATTTTTTACTCAACTCAAGCAACCACCTGCACGGTGTCCATGTCCTTGCTCGCCATTGTTCTCCTATATAAAAGGTACCTGATTTTATGTTCTTATCAGGCAACATGAAGTTTTATCATTGTTTGGCTATAAAAATTATAAATTAATTTGTTCTTTTAATTATACTAGTTAATTGTGCAAGATTGTTGTTTGAATTTCTAAAAAATCCAAGCACCTGAAAAATAGCAACTCACATTGATCTTTAGCTTTTCCCATTTCATATGCAAAGCTAAAAAAATGTAACAATAAATTTAATGCATACACCAGGAAGCTGTATACGCCACTACCTCATTTCCACAAGGAGCTAAAAAATTCAAATGCAACAGGATATGAAACTTACAGCGTTGGTTCATTTTTATTTTTTAATATTATACTGGCAACGATAAAATTGCGTTTTTTTTTTGCCACAAAGGGCATAGTACTGGAATAACAACACAATGTAAACTGTAACAAGTAACATGATTTATATCCACTGCAAAAAAGGACAAAAAAAATGTAATCCCCAACGGCAAAAACACCTTCTCACCTCTGCAAGCTCCAAGTTGCTTGAACTGTATGTAATTCTTGTATACCCGTATACAAACTTGTATACTGCCGTCGCCGGGAGGGGGGTAAAAAAAAGAGGAAAACATCAGGGACTGACTGTTACATCGATGTACAATTCTTGTTTAACGCGATCGACGATGACCTATAAATAAGTTACCGAGGTAACTGACTCTTCCTTTTTTTTGCTCTACCACCGCAGCCCCACTCTGCATCCTCCGGTTAAGGGGCCGCAAGGATGGGGCTCTTATTATACACGAAACAAATCAATAAATAATGAAATGGCACGAATTACAGGATGAACAAGAACAGTGTGGTGTTGGTGATGGACTGATGATGGTGCTTGGTGGACTGGTAAAGGAGGAGGAGGTGACGGTGACGGTGATGGTGACGGTGATGCTCGCAGGTTTTTGGTTTGAACGCATATACGTTCGGTTTGAGAGGGGGTGCCGCCGCCCACGCGAGCGCACGGGCGCCTATTGAACCATGGCGAGGAAGGTGCTGGTCGGAGCCGAGGTCGGCACCGCTGGCGCAGCCGTCGTCGCTGCCGGAGCTGGTGCTGTGTTGGTACCGCCCGGGTTCGGCCTCTGGAACTGTATCCTGTACTGCATTTTGCCGTCGTCCTCGCCTTCCTCGCCGTCGTCGGTGTACTCGTCGCCCATGTCGTCGCTGTCCGTCTCGTCCTCCGTCGTGAACTCCCGAGGCGGTTGCTCGTTCAACTCCCTGACGATGTCTTCTGGCTTCACAGCAAGCACATATCCGGTCAGCCTGCGTCTATCGAGCACGAAACGACGACAAAGGGGACAAAGAAACAGGTTGGAGTACACGGTGTCGTTACCTTCTTCATGCCGGTGTCGGTCTCGAACGCAGCGGGCGGCATCGTCGGCGCTGTCTTCTCGCCATTGCTGGCTGGCGTCTGCGTGCCTCCGCCTGATCCACCGTTGTTCCTCTTGTCGTCGTTGATGTTCTTCCCTTCTATCTCCTGCCGGCTCGGGTTCAGTTGATCTGGGTAGGCGGGAGGAGGAGGAGCGGCGGCGGCGTTGGACGGTGCCGCAGCGGCTGCGCCGCTGCGGAGGTGTTTCCTGCTGTAGATGGCATCGAGCTGGTGGAAGTACGGGCAGGTCTTGGAGTCCTCGGGCCTCTTCTTGTTGCTCTCCTTCACCTTCTTGTAGTACTTGTTGATGTTCTCCCACTTCTCCTTGCACCGCTTCGAGCTCCGGTTGTATCCCAGCCGCCGCATCCCGGACGAAATCTCCTCCCAGAGCGGACCCTTGGGACCGGTCTCCGGGTAGCGCATGTCCAGGTCCATGCGCAGCTGGATGAGCGCGTGCACCTCCGTCTTGGGCCACCGCGATGACGACGCCGCCCCTCCATCCCCTCCTCCTAGCTCGGAATCGACGTGATGCTCCGCGACGGCGGGCACCAGCTCGAGTGACGCGCCACAGGTCGGGGGCGCGCTGCGCGACGTGCCGGCGTCCTGCTGCGACGTATCCTTGGGCTGCTGTTGCGGCGGTTGCTGCTGGAGCGGCGCGGCTGAGATTGGCATCGACTGCGGTGTCGTCTGTGGCGACGGAGGCGGCGGCGGTTGCTGCTGACGAGAAGGTTGTTTCGGCGGCGGCGGGGTATGGACTGGCACCGGTGCTGGCATTGGGACGACAACGGCGGTAGCGGGCTGCACGGACTGCCCACCGATGCGCTGGAGGAAGGCGACGATGGCGGCGTCCCTGGACGCCGCGGCGGCGCGCTCCTGGGCGAGCTGCTCCAGCTCGCGGTTGAGGCGGGCGACCTCCTGCCTGCGCCACGCCTCCTCACGAGCCGTGCGCTCCGCCTCCCGCTTCTCCATGGTCTCCAGGAACCGCCGCTGCATTTCCTCCTGCCTGTCGACGACCTGCTGCATGAGCCCCTCGAAGAAAGTCATCATCTTCTTGCTGCCGCTAGCGCTGGCGCCGCCACCGCCACCGCCGCCGCGCTTCCGCTTGCCGAGGCGGTCCTGGCTTCCACCTGTCTCCGCCGTCATGTCGTCGTCCTCGGACTCGTCTTCGGACTCCGAGTCCGACATGGAAGAGAAGCTGAAGCCTTGCAGGTTGAGGGGCTGGTGGGCCCCGGGAGGCAGCTCCACCGGTGCCTGGACCTGCACCACCGCCGGCGCCGCCGACGATATGGGCGCTTGCTGCATCGGCCCCGTCGGCGGCGGCGGCATTGAACTCATCGGCGGCGGCGCGGATACTGGCGACGCGAAGGCGTGCAACGGCGGAGCGGTGCTTGCTGGTGGCAACTGCGGCGGCTGTGGCGCGGCTGCGTGCAGCGCCTCCAGTTCGTCGAAGAAGCGGTAGCTCTTGCCGTCCTGCCTGCCGGCGCGGCCTTCCTTGGTGCGCTTGTAGTACTTGTGCACGTTCTCAAACTTCTCCTTGCACTTCTTGGCGCTTCTCTTGTACCCCAGGTCGGCAAGCTTCCTGAAAGCCACAGCAGTGACAAAGACACAAGGTTCCGGTCAGCCATTACTTGCGTGCAACCAAAGACTCGAGCAATCTGCGAGGAGGAAGAATTAAATGATGGCAGCGTTTACAGGAGGAAGCGTCTAACGCAGTGGCACAACACATCGAGAGACCTCTGATCTCTGGAGGAAAGAGACAAGGAGACGGAAAGAATTGGAAATTTGAAGGACAGGCAAGAGGAGTGAGGAGCGAAAGCCGGCCGAAGGCAAGAGGATATGCTGCAGAATGGAATTATAGTTAATCACAGACCATCTCGTCTTTTTAGGGATCAGAGAGGATGTGAAGCTGATGATGCACTAGCGAATGAATGAAGGAAAATGGAGTGATGATGAGGAAAAAAAATACTGGAGCGATGAAAGCAAGGAGGCCGCATTGGGATGGGAGAGGAAGGCTGCCTTCCTTCTTTTCCCAAAAACTGGAGCCATGAAAGCAGAAAACAGTGGCAGACTGCAGCCTGTAGCGGCGGCAGCAGCTGCCTGCAGTCGGCACTCACCACACCGTGGTACGATCCCCGGGCGCCCAGATTCTTCACCCTACTACACCTACTCCTGCCTTCCAATTCTCTCTCTCTCTCTCTCTCTCTCTCTCTCTCCCCCCTCCATCCAGTGTCGCTGAAATCGAGAAGCATTTGATTAGGCCGGGATGGAAAATGGGAAAACAAAGCAAAATTCGAGGGGGGGAATTGGGCGCAGCGACGACGCAGGATAATTATCCATCATTTCATGTGGGGCGGCTGCTAAATTCCACGAAACCGTTAGCCGCTTTCCGCAGGGGAAAAAAATCATGCCGGAGACAGGCTTCTTGAACCGGGCTGCAAATGCGTTTGGAGTTTCTCTCTCCTCTCACTCCTTTCTTTTACCTGGAGACGTCCTCCCACAGGGGGCCTTTGAGCGTCGCGTCGCGGAAGGTGGCGTCCATCTCCGACCGGATCCTGATGAGCGCCTGCGTCTCCTCCCGCGGCCACCGGTTGCTGGACGCGCCTGACGACCCGCCGCCGCCGCCGCTGCCCATCATCTCGTCGTCGAAGCCCCCGCCGCCGCCGCCGGCGGCCCCGGACACCACGGCAAATTCTTCGTAGCTGGTCCTCGGTTGCTGCGGCTGCGGCTGCGCCGACGGAGGCCTGCTGCTCAGCGGCATGGGACCACCGGTGGCAGCCGCCGTCGGCGAGAAGGGGCCCATGTCCGGCGGCGGGGCCCCGAACTGTGAGCCGCCACCGCCACCACCCTGGTGGTGCTGCTGCTGCATGGCGGGCGCACCCCCGCCGCGGCGGTCCTCGGGATGAAGGCAGGGATTTAGTATGGCCGCCCTGCTGGCTAGCTGCGTAGTACTTGTAGAAGTGCGCAGTAGGGGATGGCAACTCAGTAGAAGTAGCAATTGGGGAGGGAGTACTCCTACCTAGCTTGGCCTACTAGTACTGAATTGTAGCCATGCCAGCCTAGCTCCCTCTCCTCCTCCTCTCTCTCCCACACACCGAGCGAGAGTGGTGTGGGCGACGAGAGAGAGGGATAGTGGAATTGGAGGGAGAGGATGAAATTGGAAAAGAGGGGCTGGTACAAGTAGGGAAGGGCCGGGGCGGGGGCGCCCGGCCGGAGGGCAGCAAGGAGGGCGGGCGGGGTTGGAGGAGAGAAGGATGAGGAGGGGTGGTGAAAAAGATGGGAGCGTGGACAACTGGAAAGGGTCCAAAGGGAAGGAGGGAGAAAGAAAGAAGCAAGCAAGCAAAGAGGCCGGGCCGGGCCGGGCGAGTGTGTGTGTGGGGAGGGACGGGACGGGAGAGGGAGAGGACGCCCTGGCTGGCTGGCTGGCTGGCGGCCGATGGAGAGAGAGAGAGAGAGCAAGGGAGGGCAGGCAGGGCGCCTACAAAAGGAAGGGCTGGTGGCGCATGTCCTGCCGTGTCGTACCCATGTGTATCTCCATCTACCCCCTGCCCGATCTGCTGACACCCTTCCCTTCTCCCAGCACGAAACGCAACGGCGCCAGAGCTAGCAACGACCTCTGCACACTCGATCGATCGGATCGACCGCCGGTTTACACGATCGGATCCTGCCCCTGCACGCGTACGTGTACGTATCGTATGCAGGCAGGCCTGGAACCGATCAGTAGTAGACACTAGTGGAGATCGAGCGATCGTCGGGTACTCACAGCCTGTTAGTGTTACGGGGCGGTGCCGTTTTATAGCCTGGGGCCCGGCCGGACGCCCATGGTGATGCATTGGATAGATATGGCGAAATTGATGAACCGGGACGCATGCGGACAAAACAGGGAGGGTGTGGGGCTGTGGGCTGCGCAGTAGTAGCTAGAGTGAGTGAAACGGAACGGCCTGCGCCGACCCCCCGCCTTCCGGGCACGTACCTTGCCCCCGTGCCGTGGTGGGGAGGGCGCGCGCGGACATCGCCCTCGTCGCCGTTGGAGCACAGCGCATGCACGCCAGGCCGGCCCCCTCACGCGCTGCATGCATGCATGCGTGGGGCTGAGGCGGCCGCCCGCCCCGGCCCGCGCGCCCGCACGCCGTGACACATCCCACTCCCACGTCCGCTCTGCATGCCCATGCCCATCTGTACCGCCGGGCCTCCTCCACGGCTCTATGGCTCTATCAATCTATCCGGTCCGCGCCGCCGTCGTCACGCAGCCCGTGTACAACGTCCGTGGTGGAGATAGATAGAGTGACTGCGCGCGCGCTGGCCAGCAATTAAAGATCCTTGCGTGAGCTATATAGACCCTGACCCTGGAGATATACTGGTGGAGGGAAAAGATTTTTGCTTTGCCTTCTGACTTCTTCATGCATGCATGAACGCCGCTGCTGGCCGCGTACGTATCTTTATATCTATATCTATCTACTACCCGCGCCGCCGCCCACCGCCGCTGGTGTGGTTGGCGTGGATAGATATGTGGGTCTCCACTCTCTCCAGGCTAGCAAGGATCGTCACCACATCTCAGCCTCTCAGATGTGGTGATTCTCAGCAGGCGCCGTGCTCGCGCGCATGGTCAATTATAATACTCCTATCTATTAGCAAACATGAATGCAATCATATACAGCACAGCTTTTGCACATCTTGTTCCGTTAACTCAACCTCCATGCGTATTAATATGTGCTCATCATTAATCTGGCAAGATATGCGTATCTCCATTTCCTTCTTGCTCAAACTGTATCTGCCGAGGTCTACAAGAGCTACAGCCTCGTCGATCATCACGGCGACACACGCACACGGCAGCCCACAGCCGTTTCTAGAGCCAGGATGGGGAGCGTCTGCGTCTCCTGTTTCTAGAGCCGGTGCCGGCGTCGCGAGGCTGGAGGGTAACGGCTTCAAACGGCAGAGGGAGACCGGAGACGAGCGCCCTAATGCCCATGGGTCCCAGCTGAAGCGGACGGTTGCGATGAGGTGGACGCGGCAGTACAACGTGGTTGGTTGTGGGCCGGCCGGTCCTTGTAGGCCCATGCAATGGTGCGTGGGGCAAAGCGGTCATTTTCTCGTTTATTTGTGTGCGCGCACGTCTGCCCGTATCCGGACAAGCCAGCTCTACAAACTTATTATTACCCAGAAAAATCTACAGTAACTTTTGTATATGTATACACGCACTTGATATGTACGTATCTGCACTCAGGGGGCGTGTAGTGTACAGCTACCGCACCAGGTAGTTCCGGTAATATAGACTAATAATACGATAAAAATACCCCACTTGCGGCCCACGGCGAAAGCCGCCTTCGGTTTTCCAGATATTATCAGTCAGAAACGTCTAAGTCGCAGGGTTCACATGTTACCAATTAATCATGTTTACAAAGCTGTCACGTACCAAGTTAGTTGTACTTTGTATATTTATCTAATGCCAGATGCCATCAACCATCCAGACTCTGGATTATCCGTGCTCCGTGCACCCAAACAGTACCTGGAGTAAAAAATGATCTCAGAGCTAACCCAGGATCATCTTTCTACGTGGTCACGCTGATAAACATGGTACTAAAATAGTCTACGTATTCTATCCACCGCTGGTAATCCGGCCAGTTGATGTGTGGTGTCACGAAATATTATTTGACCGAATGAACATGAATATCGCCCAGAAACGGCTGATTTAGGTGTGCTAGTCCATAGTGTAATTCTTGGTACATGCTGCCTCCGTCCTAAAAAAAATGGTTCTCATTTTCAAAAAGTTAAAAAAATCTAAATTTGATTAAATCTATATATAAAGTACTAACTTCTAGATGCCAAATAAGTATCGTTATATTAAATATAAAATATATTTTCATAATAAACTTATTTGAGCATAAAAGTTGATATTATTTTCTATAAATTTGGTCAAACTTAACAAAGTTTGACTGGCTCAAAAAACACATAGTTTTTATTATGTACTTAGACATAGCTTATATCAATAACACAAAAATGATTTCCACATATGTCAAGTTTTTTAGAGGCGGGTCCATCAAACCCTATATCACATTTAGTAATCAAATTTTAATTTTCTTGGTTAGGATGATCCCGCTGAAAATAGCAAAAACCAGCCTAAGCCGTTTTTTCAACTTGCTCTAATTGATCTGATTTTCAGTGGAGATGTGCTCTGTGATGCTATAAGCTCCTCCACCAAATTTCAAATCTTATGAAATTCGTTTGATTGGATTTTGACTTTTTCTCCTCCAAGGGCTGAAATCTGAAAAATCATCTTGAGCTGGTTTGTAAACCAGCCTAAGCTGGATTTCCATCTTTCTTTAGTTGAGCTGATTTTTGGTGGAGATGTTTCTCATGGTGTTATAAACTCCTCCACAAAATTTCATGTTGTTTGGAGGTTGTTTGACATTACTGAAAGCACTCTTTCTCGTTCGTTTTGACCTTCGATTGCTTCTGCATTTTTCTAGCCTAGTTTCTTGGGTTCGTAGTACCGCTATGACTACGTGATCTTGGCTAGCGCTACTCGAGGGGTTCCTAGATTAATTTTGGGACATAGCCATCGTATTATTGATATTTACTCGGTGAGAACATTTTAGGCTCCTATTCAACACCTCTGGTCACAGTTATCTTTAATACTCATATATGTTTTATATTATTTCGTAGTTGTTTCAAAGCAATATACAAAGTGATACGCTGCGCTTGTTGTGTTGCAGCGGTAAGCTACTGCTACACTACTGAGCGGGAGCTCTATGCTAGTTTTCCTAATTGAGATATGGTTTTCATTTAATATTTTATAAATTTCTTTGTTTTTTTAGAAAAGTTCTATTGCACATAGGATTATTCACAGCCTATATCAGTTTGGTATAAAGTTTAGTTTTGTTAATGTCCATCGACTACGCCTTTCAGCCTGATCTTAGGCCCTGACTCATCCTTCATGAACGAATCTTGCAGAGGAAACCTTGGGTTTTCGGGGCATTGGATTCTCACCAATGTTTTCGTTACTCAAGCCGACATTCTCGCTTCTGCTTCGCATATTGAAGAGGTTTAGTTAAATTTTAAACACTATAGTTTTTATAGTGATTTTATACTTTATTTCACTTATAAAAAGTTATTAAGTTATTTTTAGATTTTTTTGCATTCCGCTTATGATATTTTAAGTTCAAATACATCTTTTTCGTTGGTCATGTCGTCAAGCCAATGTGAACTGCCCATCTAGGTTTAAATCTTTATTTCAGTTGTACATAATTACATGCTCGTTGCCAATGAGATGCATTTCTTTGATAACTTTGTCAATCTTAAAATTAATTTACTACTCTAATTTAGTCATCGTTAGAAGGTGCTTATAGGGTTAGAGCATGTGTGTGTGCGTTGACAGAGGTATGTGTACCTACGCGTACATGGGTGTCTCTGCATCTACACCGCGAAAAAATATGATCATGTCAATGTCATGTCACTCCAATCCATCCACTCTAAATTAATAAATTCGAGAGTGAGAAAGTGAATGGTTTTGTAGCTGAGGGGTGAAAAACAAAATCAGACATAAAGACTACACGTCATCAATATGGGGCTATTGTCAGACCCCAACCTGAAAGTTACTAAGGTCAGTCTCAATGCAGATTTCATGCATATTGAATAGAGTGCCACATCAACAGAAATAGAGCTTTTGCATGTATCGAGGAGGAGAGAGAAGGGAAACGTTTCATGGGGACGAAACATTGGAAACCGGATGAAACCCGCAATGAGAGCCTTCCTTCCTTTTATCCCGTGCCCGACTTCTTCCTCTTCCTTCGAGTGCGGGTGAGGCCGTCATCGCTGCGGACGAGGCTGCCGCTGGGGATGAAGGGAGGAGGCGGCGCGGAGGGGAAGGCG